CCCCAAAACCCCAAAACCCCAAAACCCCAAAACCCCAAAACCCCAATTATTTAGGATACATTGAAATAATAAAAATGCAAAGAAAGAGATCGGTTAGAAGAATGATCCCGAAAATGAGCTTTAAAGAAGTCAAAAGCTTCCTACAAAACAGAGCTAAAAAGCAGGATAATATGTTTGAAGATCCTAATGCTAGATAGTATGCTATATCTTGGTCTAACCTTATAGCACGCTGGAACAGCAAGTGTTTAAAAATGGACATAAGAATAAGAGGTATTCTTGCTCTAAGATTCTTATAAATCCTCTGAAATTTTACCCACTTTTGTAGCGAGATTCGATGTCCTGAAATAGTAACCAGTCGAAAATAGTGGAAGAAAGCATACACCTAATTTTCGTAAATATTTCAACTAAGCCTGTAGAATCCCCTCTGAGTAATAGAGTCTTAAGACCTCATAAGAGTCAACTGAAGATGGATTATGATCCTGTATATCTTCCTTAACTCTTTATAGTCAATCGAGATGCGTAATAGGGGCCATCCTTGCATTTCTCAGGATCTTAATCTAGACCATGATGAGCCTAGAAGGCCAGTTGTTCGAAAATAAGCTTGATGAGTAAATTCTTAATAACTTGTAGTTACTTTAAGCTGAAAAATACATTTGTAAAATAACCAACCCATCAAAAGAACTCCGCAAAGTATGTATTTGAGGTTATGTGTAGACAAGGAATACCAGGAACTGGTCAAGAAAAAGCAGCATGATGAAGCCTTAGGAATTAATAAATACAAAGCTGAGAATAAAACGTATAGTAAACTCCAATTAGGAAGCGGCCAATATGGCCTTATTGATAAACAGGGCAGATATCGTAACAAATTAAAACACAGAATTAGTCCAAGAAGAGCTAAATTCAGGAAGAAGTTGAACAACATGATCATGAATATGTACTAAAATTAACTATTTCAATATCAATGCCTGAGAGGGGTTTTGGGGTTTTGGGGTTTTGGGGTTTTGGGG